ATAAGATAAAGATCAGCTTCAAAGATAATATCTATTTAATAAAGTTTTAATATTTCATTTTTTTCAAGGTTGGGCAGCAATGCAGTACTACCTCCACGTGGTGCTGCCTGGGGTCTCTAGCAATGCTGTTAGAGATGCTAAATGTACTGCCTTAGAATTTAATCACACTTCCTTTGAAGTATGAATACTATTAAATGTAGACTTGGAAACCAATAAAGATCAATCACAATCACCCACACAAGTATCACGCCCCTTGGTCAAAGTAAAGAAATTGGAGTTAAAATGAAACAGCAGCAATAATATTTAATGGCAAAATAATGAATAATCAATTGTTGAGTGTAAACATGTCATAACAGGTTTCACAAAGGTATATCAAATTGTCAGCATCAAGCAAGTTGTAAAACTGGGATATTACAATCATGAAACTTTCATTCATCCTGTCCCATGTTGCATGACATAATAGAAACTAAAATTCAATAGAAAGTAAAATTATAATAATACCCATTACATTATACCTGTTTTCCTTCAATTAGTATTCCCAAAATATGTTGGGAATCCTTATACGATGTTTCAATGAGGTTGCCCATCACATAAAACAGTAACTGCCCCACATCACTCTCAAATGCAACAAGACTAGGTACCTCATTCATAAACTTATTGTAAAATATAACAGGAAGTTATACCAACTGATAATCATCATACCTCGACTATTACTATAGATGAATCATCATCAAAACAACATCAGGTATTCCATAATGATGACAATTAATCTATCAAAAGGCAACATAACAAAAGAACTCACTAGAAGAGCAGTGTCAAATGTGGCCGGTGCTTGCTCTTTAAGTGTGTACGCTTGAGTTTCTGTATCTGGTGACGATCCACTAGACTCAATTCACTTCGTGATCACTTGTACTATTGACTGCACTTGAGGACTCTTCACTCTTCTGTATAGTCTACCAGTGGTCAATGCCTACGTTTGGATGGGGGTGACCTGCTACTTGTTGGGCTATCAAAAGACGTGTCACTTGTAACTGGAGCTATATACCCCTCAATCTCCACTTGTAGATGCAGCCCCATTTACTCATCAACAACTTTTGGAGTCAAACTATTATTGTGAAATATAAGTAATCTATTATTTCATTACTATCTAGAAAGCTACAAACAGTAGAAACACTATAAAATGGTATAGATGAGTAGACTAGTTTGAAGTTGCATGAATGGTATGCACACATAATTATTTGAAACTAAATATTCATTATAAAAATATACTGCTATTTACTTACACTTTGCAATGTGTGCAATGGCCATTACAAAGCCAGTACATTTTCATTAGTCCTAAAAGAACTGCAGTAAATTCTTTGGAAGAGGAATTATCTGTTTTTTCAATAACTAATTGCCTCATCACTGTTGCTAAGTGTTTTATTTGTATAAGCTACAAAATTGTAATCATCAAACAAAAGGCATTTTCAACATACAATAGTAAATGGAGGATCATGGTGCAAAAGATCTTTCCATTGTATACTCTGTAGCAACCCAACAAAATTAGTTTTGCTCCTAGCCTGATAACACCTAAATAAAAAAGGCACAGTTGTTCATAAATACAAGTAAAAAATTGCTTTTAAAAGCATTGGGCAAAATTATACAACTGCACAAATATACACTAGGGAAGTATTTCCCTAGATTGTTTTCACTACTTTGCATACATATAGCTGGCAGCCATTGTACTTAGTGTGGCAACACCCACTTTATGTAAAGGGATAGGCAGGGTGTTTCTAAGGTGTCATGTGCTAATAACTCTGTCAATCAACACTACATTACCTTGAACACGATGACTGTCTCCTGACTGGAATGCTGTCTACTACTGTCACCTTTACTTTGATTTTATTATTAGCATAATAAAATACTGTTTGTTCAATGAAGGCTTGAAAACTTGGCAGTGACTTATAGTTGGTTGCAGGAAGTTTCAACGGTGGTGAATCTGAAATGTAAAGAAAAACTAGTACATTTTGACTCTACTACATACCAAATTTGAGTTTCTTTGGAACATTTTTCCAAGATCTACTTCTCTTTGTCTCAGTAACTCTAAAAAATATATTATGCAAGTGACAACAACATAGCTGGCATACTTTCTTTTCTGATGTTGTAATTCGACCAATACTGTGACTAGCCATGTTGAACAAGGAGAGGTAGAGGACGGGAGAAGAGCTAGGGCAAAAAGAAAGGAAAAACAAAAAGTAAAATGGCCAACTGAAAAGAAAACAGTAAAGGCCTGAATCGACCAGGTCTTGGCAGCCCAGTTACAAAGCTTACATATGTAGAACAGCTCGAGAAGACAAGATCCACCAAGATAAACTAAACCACTGAACAGAACTACAGAACCAATGAACCAGAACTACTGAGTCTCACGTGACTTCCAAAGTTGGCATGCATGCGCACACACATTATGTCACATGTATCCAATCGTTGTAATTATGATTTTTATTGCTTTGGAAACACAATTTTGAAAAATTATTATTATGCAAAACTAAAACTTTTTTTAATCTAATATGTACAAAATGCATAAATATTTATTCTTGTTTTACTAAAAAACAAAAAAATCATAGAACCCCAGCACTACACCCTTAAAATATCATCGTTTATTGTATTTAATAATTATTATGTAAAATAATTATGTATATCACATCCATCATTTGATCATCGTGTTTCAAGTGTAGGTGGGGTTGACTCAACCATGAATTGCATAACAATGCACAAAATTGTAGCAAATGTGGTATATTAAGTGCATTTTTCCGTAGTTACCATCAACTACAGGTAAGATCATCAGAACAAATTCATTTTGAGGTGTAATTTTTAATGGCAATTCCCAATTAGAATGTCGCAAGATTGGGCGGAATCGATACACCCTTAACTATGGAGATATGCGGCATTTTAAGTCCATTTTCCCATAGTTAATATCAACTAGAGGTGGCACTATCAGAACAAATTCATTTTTTAAAGTAACTTTTGATGGCAATTGACATTTTGGATGTTGCAAGATTTGGCCGAGTCGACATGGCCATAACTACAGTATTCTAAGTGCATTTTCCCATAACTACCATTAACTACAGGTGGTACTATCAGAGCCAATTCACTTTTAGATGTGACTTTTGATGGAAATTCACATTTTGAATGTTGCAAGATTGGGCGGAGTCAACACACCAATAACTTTGGCCTGATCAAACTATTTTCTAAGCACATTTTGTCATTATTGAAATGACTTTTGGAATTTATCAGTGATTCTGCTTGCAACTATCACTTTGTGTCCATGTTACTTTATGTATGATAGCTTTCAATTAAAAGAATATTTTTTACTAGTAGAAGAAGGCTGTCAATAATTGCACACATGCATATTACATGTAGGTGTATACTGTGCTTTATTTTGCAGTAAGTAAATGATATAGGTTTCATTTGCTGAGTAGGGCAATATAATAATAGTAAAAAGATATGAATGTACTAAAATTAAAATTAATAAACGAAATTAATGACATGACGTACAATGTGATCCAATGGAAGTGGCCAAGTATTATTTATGTTGTTTCTCTTTATTTTTGGAGCTAATATGCAATTTCAGATGTATCAATCATTCTTACAGGTATGAATAAGAATAAAACAATAAATAGCAATAAAATATTGTGCATTATTATTATTATGCTTCTCTAATTTAAGAGTAGCGGCATCTAATGTACACTCTCTGCTAAATACAAATTCACTACAATCATATTTTGTCAAACAAAGAAACTGCTTTAAATCATGGTAGCTATGTTTTAAATCTCATTTCTTTCCCTTCACTCTCTTTATATAAGTCTGATCCTTGCAAGGCCTAGCTATTTGTCTTGCATATATATTACTGATTTCTATATGCTACAAGGGTTCATATTGTTTAGTATAAATTCTGTGCATAGTTTATCCTTCTTCCAGGACCTTTTGTTAAACATAATTTGCTATTCAATTTAAAGCCTGATCATTTCAATGTATTTCATACTTATCAATTTTGTTTTTTTAAGATCACTGTCATTCACAGTCAAAATCAATTTTGCAGAAAATATTGTCCAAATAAATGGGACTACTTTCTTTTTCCTCAGAATCTTTTATATTATGTATATTACTTTTTGTGAACAAATTAATTTGCTTTGAGCATTACTTTTTAACGTAGTTATAAATTTATTTACATCTAACTTAGGATAAATAAACGAAATTAATTATACCTTATTACCTTGGTGCTTGTTCTTTTTAGCCTGAAGTTCTATAGTTGAGGGATGTGCTCATTTAGTACATTTGTTTATCGGATATAAGCTAAATTAGTGTGATTAATTTTACCATTTGAAGTAATCATATAGCTACCTAGCATTATTGATATTCATCTTTATTGAACCACATATATGTTTTGTTGGAAGCAACTACCAAATTCCTTTTCATTACACATAATTACAAAATTGATGCATACATGTATATGTACCTTACACAATGTCTCTAAACAATCATTACTTTTATACCAACATTCATGCTTCAAATAGAATACTGATACATGCATGATGTATGTACCTGTACAGAAGGTAATACAAACATTAAGAGTGCATAAATGACAAGCTGTACTTTTTGCACTCTTACTGGTTGTATAGCTTTCTCTTCCTTTCACTTTGCTTCACTGTTGCAATTGCTTTTATAAAACACAAATAATAAAAAATGATACAGAGACATCTATAGGTGCGCACCTAAATGTATCAAAGGTGGATTTGTTAAACATCTCATACAAAAATTCTTCCATACTGGGTGTAGCTGTCTTAAATGATTACTGAAAAAATTGAAAACTCAGAAAAAATGTCTCAAAACTGAGCATAAAAACTATTTGTCAAAAGCATGGCAATTACAGTGAAGATAAAATAATTTCTTCCTTGTAAAATTATGTTCAGCAATAAAATGCGGTTGCTACAAAGGCTAACCACAATCATGGAACAAGAGTTTTGTCAATCAAAGCCTGTTTACCTGTTTTAGCACATCCAATATATCTTCACACAATGTGCCTTCTATTGCTTCTAAATAATGCTTGAAAATCAGAATAAGAAAGTGATTTTTGAAAGACAAATTTTAGTGTTAATATAAAAATGTGGCCTAAAAGAAGGTGTCAGTATATTAAGTACTGAAAAATAATTTTTTTTAAATATATGTAGACACATATTCTACTGATTGTGAAAAAGTACAACATAAAAAGGCTCTCCAATGTTTTCAATCAAAAACTGCCTTTTTTAAGGTTCATCATGGCATGATTGTAATTTATCCCTGAAAATGATAAATTTAAACAATGATTAGATCTGTAAAATATATAAACTAACAATTGTGCAGTACAAATAATGAAATCAGCATAAATCTGTAGAATTAATTGCAGAGAAGAAGACTAAAATCATGTAAGGTGCAGCATATCTCTGGAGCAACCATCAGAACTCCATGGTGCCGTTTATAGGCGCTCATCTCCTGCTCCGGGTAGTCTCCGTCTCCACTTTTCAGCAATCATCTCTGGGTCATCTCCAGCTCCGGTTTGTAGCACTTATTTCTGGTTTTGACCCTGGTTCAGGGTTTTAGCAGCACCCCATTCTCCGGCACCTTTGGCAATTCTCGTTCTTCTAAATTTTGCTTTCAGGAGCCAAGGCACTTGCCTCTCCAAAGCTATAAAGACAGAAGGTATTCAGCTGAGTCCTATGACTAGTGTCTATTATCACACTTAGTCTCAGTCCATCAGAACCAGGTACGGTCAAATAACTCACTCAGTTGTCATGTTGCAGCTGGAATGTGGATGATTATGACCATCTTTTCACTTCTTACAACTATAGGTTACCTCTTTTATAGATTTTTGAGGCATGCAAGAGGTCATTCTTTATCTGTAAATTCACTGGTTGTACTGTAGGAGCATCTCATGTCGTATTAAAATCCATTAGTTCCTGTCCAATATTGCAGAGAGGAATCGTCACATTCAGGACTTGTTCATGGCTCTACACCATTTGTATCCTCTCCCAACAGTTCTACTTGTTTCAAATTAAAAAAAACATTATGGGTGTTTTTGCTAGAACTATTATTGCTGTTACCATTAGGTCACTACATTGCATTTGTATAGACAACTATTTATATATTTACTTATATTTTATGATATGAACAGTAAATACACATAATTTGAAACCATCTCGACAATAACAAAGATAATTATTGTAATTAACATCTATTTTTCTCTTAAATTTAATATAACGATGGAAGTGTTTTACTTTATACTGGACATTAAAATTAATAGCTAGTTTAATCTGAGGTCAACAAAACTACTAGGTTTACTTCTTCTTTAGCCCCTGTTTACACTATAGCTACTATACAAAACTTATTGGGTGGAGAAATTATTATTAATAGTTAATTCAGTATGATAAAATAGAGGTTCAACTCATAAAAGAGATCTGAATGAAAAAGCAAGTGTATCGTCATTCTACAGTCTGATGT